CATAGTTAGCGCGATGGAACTCGCCTTCTCTCTAAGTAGCGCTCAGTTAGCGTAAGGTTTTTAGCATGATAACAAGTAAAGCATTCCAGGAAACGTTGGTTTGTTTGACTGTCCGTTGAGCCACAAGGAATTTACTCTGAGCAGCTAATCGGATGCATTCCACTCTATCTTCCACGGATCTAGCGACAGTATCGACACACATAGACAGTGAGGTCCCTCTTGGCCAATCAGAGGCCAGGATGATGCTCGGTAAGCCAATGGCTGAGCAGCTATGAGTATGTTGCGTTCAGGAAACTCGCAGCTGTGACCGAAATAAACATCGTTCACTATGTAAACCAGTGTGGTGGTTGCTGTTGCCGTTTCCGAACGAAGCAGTAGAGGTCGCTGTTGGATTCGACTTCGTTGTAGTGAATGTCTTGGCGAGGCTGGAGCAGAGAAAATGATATCGTATGGGTTTTCGTCGTATGGGGGGCAGGAGAATGGGAATGGTGTTAATGCATGAAGATTTTTTCACATTAGGGGGTATTTTCGCCCATGTAGGTTTCGTTCTAGAGGAGTTTCACTGTACTAATGACAATTATAGTATGAATACACACAGCAACACATGCTGTATGTATCTATATGAGCTATATTAGCCTGCTATCAACATGACTAAGTTGGCTACAAATACACAATGAGCATTCATGATTAAAAGTTTTTTTACCCCCTGCAGTTTATCCTGTAGAGGAAAACTTTTTTTATGGAAGATCTACTTTTTGAACAACCAACCTCCCGCGATCAACCCGTTACCGCACACGCTCGCATACGCACACACTTACACACGCATGCCGTAATGAGCGACAGCCATAACGGCCGCTGAGATGAACGAGGCACGGGACGCACTTTCGCAGCGTGCTCACTATCGTAGCTCATGTGTACCGTTTACCAGATTCCCATTCTGAGCAAGTACCCTCGATGAATTGTACATGAAAGGCAGCTGGGTTTTTTTTTGTTTTTGTTGTTTTTTTTTTTTTTTAAACAGCCCCCTGACTGACACCCCGCCCTGCCAATAGAAACGTGTGTCGCAGGCTATGACGAAATGTTGACATTTAATATGTATTCGACACATTTTTACAGCATCCGAAAACGTTAATGTTTGTGTCATGTTTGTCCTCTGACAGAAACCATATTAAAACAAAAGAATATATTTCCCTCCCATCTTTTTCCATTTTCAAACATTTTTTAAAAAGCTCTGGGAGCCACTGGGGGGGCGCTAAAGAGCCGCATGCGGCTCAAGAACCGCGTGTTGCCCGACCCCCGATATAGACTAAGTGACATTTTTTTTACTCCATCTCATGTTCCAAATAAGGAATTCAATTCGATTCAAGACTACAAGTATAAAGACTAGAACCTTAGCAGAAGCCAGGAAAAACACAACACACTGACATAACATTCCTTTTTTTTTTTTTTGTCATATTACACTTTTCCCGTACATGAGCAAAAGATGTGCAATTTATCCTTGCTGCCAACATTACAATGTTTCCTTCTATGCCAGAGTGCTATCATTTGATCCTCCCATCAGCCACCTCATCTTAGCACCGGGCAGCCATAAATGATAGATTAGGCTTGAATTAATCATGAGAAAGGAGACTGAGATATAAACACACGGTAGGGCCCCACGGGGGAACAGAGAAGCCCATATGAACATGTCAAAGTAGAGTAATAGTACTGATTAACCATCCACTGTGAACACATAGTAAGAATACAAAATGACTCCACTGTTCTCCCTTATGAAATATTACACAGTCTATGACTGTGCATTTAAGCCACTTGACAAAAGATGCTTCCGACTTCAGCGTCAAGACCGCACAGTGTTTGAATGCTTGAAGTTTAAACTCTCCACAAATTAAGTGCCTCGACCATCCTAAAACCCTTTCCAACAATCAAAAAGATTGATGTGTGGTTAGAATCCCAAACATGCTTAATTGCAGGCTGTGTTGAAATAGCGTCTTGTGTCAATGTCAAACATATTGAGGCAACCTCTATTGTAGCAGGCTTTGTAAAATTGCACTCAAAGATTGCACCTGCATTGCAAGGAAATCTTGCCATTCTCTCTAATGAGCCTTCAAACAACCACTATCAACAGGTACTCATGCACGTCAATACGAAAAAAAGAACATGTGACCATGGTTACGCCCTGAGGCCCGATGGAATGTCAGCCTAACGGGTTAGTTTAGATTTAGATTTGCCATGGTGCTAGTACTCGGTTGCACAACACCGAGCAGACAAATCAGCCGTTTACACATTCCTGCAGTGCATCAGCAGAGATACACAGCATCGATGGCCATTTTGCATTATTGCAAATGTGGCAACCAAAAAACTTGCTACATTTTTCAAACAGCATTGATCTTACAAAATCAATCTGTGGAAATACAACGGCCTTATCATTTATGTACGGAGTAATTTCATCAATGTGTGTGTCTGGTGTTGTCTTGCTGCCAGTGCTCATTGTCTTTTCTCTGTTGTGGGGCACAGGGTAGCCACGCAGTTGCCAAAGAACCGCCATAGTGAGCGAACATGACACGCAGCAAGAAGTACATCAACACACAGTGATAGTTAATCAGTCAGTCAGTCATTGGGTGACTAAAACTTCAAATGGAAAACGTATATATATATATATATATATATATATATATATATATATAGTAATATTAAGTGACTCAGACTTAAGAACCACCTTGTATTTTGCAGGATTAATGTCATTCAAATTCATTTAAATGAAGAAATGAGTGACGAGTGTGGTACAGGGCGAAATCAAACTCGGAAGTCAAGGCATAAACTATGCCGCTTGACACAACCATTGCTATTGAGACAATCGTCTCAATAGCAATGGTTGTACGTGGATGTAAAGAAGATTACAAAATGAGTTCAGGCTCAGGGCGGCAAGCGGATGTTGCGGTAGCAGCCAGATGTGACCTCGCTCATACGCACGCGGGCAGGCATGTTCGTGTTTAGCAGGAGTCTACTGCAGCAAAAACAGACACTGAAAACATGGAAATGACCCTAACCCTTAAGATTCCAAACTCACAAACGCAGAAGAGTCGGGTTCGCGCACACACACACCTGGTTTGACTGTCTTCAGCCGGATGGGCTCTCGGAAGTGGCGGATGACAGCCAACGTGTCCCGGTGGGTGAGCCCGCTCACCGGAGTGCCGTTGACCTCCAGCAGCACGTCCCCGCTGCCTGGAAGTCTTCCGGCGTGACAGACCATCGTCTCGGCCGCAATGTGGCCGAGGTAGGGGAACTCCCCCTGCTCGGCGCCGCCTCGTACCTCCACCATCGTGACCAAGTCACCGGATCCCCCCCACGACACGGCGCACTCCTGGACTTTAGCAGACCAGTGCTTCTTCTTTTTGAGCGTCTTGGACATTGTTGGTTGCTCTTTTTTTTCTGCAGCCCGAACACGATCTTCCGTAAAGGAGAGAGCGGCTGGTGGTGCTAAGATGCAGTGACGCACAGGGGAATCATTGCAGATTGTATGAATCAAGTGTCATATTCCACTTCGATGATAAGTAGTCTGTTCCACGTGGAATGTGGTCGGTCGCCACCGTGGATCACTCGCGCATCACCTCTTCGCACGCTTGGATGCGAGGCCAACCGACTGCGTCAGTGTCGCATCGAGACAGAAAGTGTCGGTTTTGGTGCTGGGGTGTCTCGACCCCACGCCCCCCACAACAGGGCCTTCCTTTTTTTGCGGTTAAACTCCAATCTAACAATATAGAAGGGACTTTAAGAGTGCCTGGTAGTCTTCCTCGTTTCAAATGCGACGTTTGTATCTCCAAATAATCCAGAAATTTGCAGACAAATTGATGGAATTGCAGTCAAAACAAGTTCAACGTAGTGATCTCCGTATCAGCTGTTTGTTTCCCAGCTCGATCCAAACAGACTGGATTTGCAACTTTACGCCGCGCACCTGTCCTTGTCTGGTGCCCTCCTCCTCTGCGGTGACATCAGCAATACAGTCCTTGGAAACGGAAAAACAGACCTGTCCCAGCACTCCAACGAGGGAGAATTCCGCTCTTTCTCGCCCAGACGCCCTTCTATGTATTCATTTATAGAGCTGGGCGATTGCACGACTTCTCTATACGCACATCATATTTTAATTTTTTTTTGCTAAACAAAACACTCGCGGAGACACGGATTGAACATGATCCGATTATACTTCTCTCCATAACTTTCCCCCCCGCCCCCGCCACCAAGCTTGTTCCGGTTGCTTTGTGGTTTGAGGCTCTTCTGTCCAATCAGTAGTCAGCGGTGGGAGTCAAACGCAACTAATACAACCAATGACGAGCGGCAGGAGGCGTGACATTTGTGACAGACATGTCGGCGTTGATTTACTACAGTGTGTCAAGTTGCGGCAGACAATGCGATTTTGCGTTTAAATAGTCGGTCAGATAAAGTTCACACATAATCGTTGAGAAATATGGCAATGGTGTACAACATAGATTCTTGCAATATGTTGTTGCAATTTTACGACATCAGTGTGGATTTAGTGTTTTTTTTTTTTAGTTTTCTTTTCCTGTACTAGCTTTCCCTCTGGTGGTTACGAGGTGATACTACAATCCATGTACTAATTGTAAAGAGAGGCTTGTTTCTTAAATATCATTTAACCTTTGCAGATATCAACGCAATAAAGTCTCTGAGGTCTGGTTGATCTTGGGGTCTTATCAGGCGGAAAAAAACAGAAACAGCAATAATATGGAGAGACCAGGTAGCATTTAAAATGAAGCCAACAGAATCGGAAAAGCGAGATATTCCCCATTCAAATTCAGATTAAAGAGAAAGATTTGTTGAGCACTTGTACCAGTCTAAAAACCATCAATTCTCCGTGTAATCTGAAAAAAAATCATTGTACCGAGTTATCAAAATGGGCACTGTATAGTATTTGATTTAAAAAAATTGTTTTAGCCCTAAGCACAATTCAGAGATTTTACTGTTTATTTTTTACTGAAGTAAAAGAGCTGAATCAGTTCTTTCAGACTTTGCAAGTTTGGATCGTTGTTGTCTTTTATGACCTGCTTTGTGAGGCACGTGGTTTTGTTTTTCGAATTATGAAGGGCTTCACACTTAATGCTACAGGTATTCCCATTTTATATTCCCCTCCATTTTTTATATGCATTCCATATAATTCATCCAATTTACATCATTCCAATTTCAACATATTCAAAAAATTCAGACCCTGTGAACTAGAATTTTATTCCAGATGTTCCCGGTTTTCCCAAGATTTAAAACGTTTCACCTAAAAATCCCCCATTCATTCCCAATGAGGCCAAATGTTGATTATTAATTCCAATGGAACATTCAACATCGCGAATTTACATCATCTGGAATTGAAATCATTCAACTCATTCAATTCACATTAAGAGTGATTTTCAACTTGCCACAAATTCCCAGTGACCAAAAATTCAATATTTTCACCATGACAATAGTCACAAAAAAATCCCTATTTATTCCCAGTGACACTTTGAACAGTTTCACATTGTTACTTTTGAAATTGAAAACATTCAGCTCATCCAATGTGCATGCCAATCATTCTGATTCCCTAAAATTGAACATTTCCCCAAATAAAGCTTCCACACAAAAATCCCTATTTTTTCCCAGTGACACTTTGAACAGTTTCACATTGTTCCATTTGAAATTGAAAACATTCAGCGCATCCGTTGTGCATGCCAATTTTTCTGATTCCCTAAAATTCAACATTTCCCCAAATAAAGCTTCCACACAAAAATCCCTATTCATTCTCAGTGGAACATTCTCAACTCATCTCAACTGTATTTATAGAGCACTTTAAAACAACCATCGCTGTATACAACGTGCCGTACATGAGGCAAATATCATATGTACAATAATAAAACAATAACTAGTAACAACGGAAGTAGACATTCAACAAAATAGATTCACTGAATAAGCTTCATTCTGTCTCTTACTTATAATTAAACCCTAAAAAAACTGCCTGAGATTAAGGCACCAACAAGTCCAAAACAGATTCTACATGTGCAGCTCAATTTACCTTGGAAATGATTTTAAACATAGAGAAATTATACATTCACTCCCAATGGCACGTTCGAAAATGTACTGAATTTTCATGACATGCAATATCATTTCACATTACTCTATAATATAGAATCCATATGGTCGACTAGTCGTCCTCACAGTGCAGACGTGCAAGGTTCGATTCCGGCTGCGGCCTTCCTGTGTGGAGTTTGCATGTTCTTCCCGTGCCTGCGTGGGTTTTCTCCTGGTACTCCGGTTTCCTCCTACATTCCAAAAATATGCATGACAGGTTAATGAAACACTCTAAGTCCGCAGGTCTCAAACCTGACATTACACACGCACAGGTACGGGTAAAATGAGTGCGAAGACGTGAACACGGAGCTACCACTATTACATCCACACAAGCGAAGTTTTATGTGTCCGTGTTAGCGTTAGCTCCATGCTAGCCACTAGCCGAAATTTTCAAACTTTATTGATATTTTTATTTATGTAATTTACTATTCAACGGCCACCACAAACACTTTGTGTTTCCATGGATTCTGACCTAACTGTACCGTCCGTGCTCGACGTGACCCTGAGGAGATCTAGTACCAGCGGAAATTACGTTCTTCGATTTGTTTTTTTTTCATCTTATTTTGTGTAGAAAATTTTTTAAAAAGATATTTGAGAACAGTGGAATGTTTTGTCAGAGCTTTTCTTGTGGAAAACCGTAACCAAAGCACTGAAAAAGAGTAGGGTATAGCAAAAGGATTAAAGAATATCTATCTATCTATCTATCTATCTATCTATCTATCTATCTATCTATCTAGCTAGCTAGCTAGCTAGCTAGCTAGCTAGCTAGCTTGCTATTTTTTGGGGAAAACCTGATGCGGCCCCCAGGTAAATTGAGTTTGAGATCGCTGCTCCAAATTGTTCCTTGGTGTGAGTGTGGGTGCGGATGGGTGTTCGTCTATGTGTGCCCTGCGATTGACTGGCAACCGGTTCAGGGTGTCCCCACCTATTGCCCGAAGACAGCTCAGATAGGCGCCAGCATGGCCTGCGACCCTTGTGAGGATAAGCAGATCTGAAAATGGATGGATGGATGGACGAATGGAAAATAGGACGAGGGTTACAAAGTAGGGTTTTAAACTGGGGATAGGGTTGAAAATAGGGTTTTATGCTACTGTTACGTTGTCAAAATAGGATTTTACACGAGGGTTAAGGTTTCAAAGTAGGGGTTTAAACAACAGTGAAGGTTTCAAAATAGGATGTAAAAGGGTGATGGTAACAATGTAGGGTTGTGAATTAGGATCAGAGTGCAAAATAGAATTCTAAACTAGAGTTACTGTTTCAATATAGTGTTTTAATCTAGGGTTAGGGATTCAGAGTAAGGTTTTTAATTAGTGTTAGGTTTTTCATGTGGGAGTTAAGATGAAGATGAGGGTTTTAAACAATGTTTTAAACTAGGGTTACTATTTCAATATATTGTTTGAGAGCAGCATTTGGGTTTCAAATTTGGGTTTTTATCTAGGGTTAAGGTTTCAAAAGAAGCTTTTGAACTAGAGTTAGGGTTTCAAAGTTGTGTTTTGAACGAGAGTTTGAGTTTCAAAGTTGGTTTTTACACTTGAATTAGGGTTTCTAAGTATGGTTTAGAAGTAGGGTTAGGGTTTCAAATGAGGGTTTTAAATTAGTGCTAGCATTTCAAAGTAGGGGTTCAAATTAGCGTTAGGGTTTTGAAGTAGGATTCCAGAGGAGGCTTAGCGTTTTAAAGTAAGGTTTCTGAAGAGGAATAGGTTTTCAAAGTAGGATTTTAAACAAGGTTTAGGGTTCGCAAGTTAGCAAGTTGCCATGCAACACACAAAAAAATATATGAAGAAAAAAGTTTTCTTTCAATTTTTTTTTTCAAAAATCTGGAAGTTTGGTTAGGTTTATAAATTAAGGCTCTTCACCATGAGAGTAGAGTAAGCAGTGACACAAATTTATAAGAGGCCCCTGTCTCTATATTATTTTACCCATATATATTTAAAAAAGGAAGATATTGAGAGATTGTGAAATCGATATGAATCAATAAAAACATTTTAAAATACATACTTAAAATAAATCTCTTGGTCACATTCAGAACCCACATCAAGAAACAGGAGATCATTGTATTTATTTCTTTATTTCAATGAGAACAAAAGCATTTTTTATTACGAGTTGATATTGGCTATGGTTAGAACAAGGGCAAATAAAGTGTGTAATTAAAATATGTAGGGGGAAGAACAAAAGACAGAAGGTGGCTGTAGTAAAGCTCAACATGGTTATGAGTGGAAGAAGGAAAAAGAAAGTACCCAAAATAATATCAAAGGAAGGTGATTTATGGTGAAGGTAAAAACAGGAGTGTGATTAAAAATAGAAAAAGAAAAAAAAAGTCGAAAAGGAAACAGTAATTTCAATTGAAATTGAGAAACCTGAAGAAAAAAATATGTTACAGAAACTCCTCAAAAAATTAAAAAAGGCGCTCTAAAATCACCCGCTAGATGGGAGCAAAGATTCATTTTCCTTCGATCCTGATGCGAGTGGGACGCGTTTCACCGGGAGACACTATGATCGAACTTCTCTTTGGGAGCATAGTCTGTAAAGCATATCCTAAGACAAATCATATTTCTCTCCCTGAGAGGGCCCTGAGACGAGTTGGCACCTGGAATATTACATATAAGTTATTACATATAAATATAAAAATCCCGCATACAATTTAAGTGCAAACAATAAGTGCTTGTTGAGTACAATATATAACACACCACACTATAAAGTATACATCTCCAAATCAGCCCACCACAGGGCCCACATTATCTATCGTTTTAGTTTCGCTTCCTTTACAGAGTTTTATTATTGAAAAGACACATCTCTTTCCCGTGCCAATTCCATTTCAAAGTTTTTTGTTTGTTGTGGTCACTCGCTCGAAAATAATAATCCAGATAAATGACTTAATTTATAAAGACAGCTCCACACAGACATTTGTTCATGGAACAACCCCAGGCTAAATACTCGTCAAATTAAAAGCAAATTAAGGAGCTAGCCCTCCTTCGTATAGAAGGATATGGGGAGAAGTTCGGGGGCTACCAATTATTTAGATAATTGTTAGTTTATACACAAATAGCATATTCAAAAGGTAAATGTTATATTGCATTCGTGCCGTAGTCTTGAAAGTCGCATTTCACACTACAGTGATCCGATATAGTCCTTATTCCT